AGCAAAACCTAATAAACTAGTCAAAAGCTCCGATTACCTTCAACTCAGCAGCCTCCGAAACCTGCTGCTGCTCAACTCTTTTCTCCAATTCTTTCTGAACCAAAACATTAAAAAAAATCAAATCTTGACCTAGTAAATCTGAAATCGAAAAGGAAAAAATATCCTCGATAATTAAAAAAAATTACCTGAAAAGTGTAGGGATAAAGAAAAAGCACAGCAAGCACGGGCTTAGGAACCATCTCTAACATCTCATCATCCAATCCGTAGACATCGTTGAACTCCACTTGGTCCTCGGGAACTCCGAGGCCCCAAATGAACTGCGATCATCAGGTCAATTCATCGAATTATCAGATCGAAACCCTAACCCTAGAAATTAAATTGAGATCGAGACGAGAGGGAGGACCTGGTTCATGACGTCGGGGTTCGCTTCGAGAGGAATCCATCGCTTTTTCGAGGGTTCCGCCATTTGTTTGTTAATCTCGATCGGTAATTTTGGAGAATGAGGAGGGAAAGCGGCGGAGGGCTAGTATTTATAGACCAGCGACCTAACCTTGTGTGCCCGTGCGTTACCTGTGCAATTGGGAATTTCCCTTTTTTTCAAAGAGGAAATTTTCACTGTAGACCCGATTCAAATTTTAATTACCGAATTCTACCCTATCTCGTTTTATTTAGGGGCTGTTTGTTTGCCTAAAAAAAGAGGGATATCAAAGAAAAGGAAACCTATTTCTAAGAAAAATAGGTTTTGGGATTGTTTGGTTGGCTAAAAAAAAAGGAAATCAAAGAAATAGAGATGAGATGAGATGAGTTGTCACCTTATTATAGGATGATGTGAGTGATTTTTTAAGAAAACTTGTTTTGATGTTGTTTGGTTGGCGGAAAAAATAAGAAAATGAATTATAAGAAACATATTTCTTGTATTAGGTTGTTTTCTTTTGTTTGGTTATTTCTTAAAAATAAGAAAATAGATGAGATGAGATGAGTTGTCATTATATTATTGGATGATGTGACCCACACTTAAGGAAATTGTTTTCCTAGCTTTTTGGGAGGAAAACAAAAAAATAAAATGTTAATGAGATGAGATGAGTTATCACAATCTTATTGGATGATGTGAGTGATTTTTAAATATGAGATGAGATTAGTTGAGTGATGTTGTGGATGAAAATAATATTTTATTAGATGTGGTGGATGTGATGGATGAGTTGTTGGATGAAAATAATATTTTATTAGATGTGGTGGATGAGTTGTTGGATAAAAATAATAATTTATTAGATGTTGTGGGTGAGTTTTAGGGATGGAAATGTGTGAAATTGTACTTTTTGAGATTTCTTGGTTTTCATTTCTATTTTTTGGTTTTTTAGGAAATAACCAAACAGGCCCAGTGAAATCGACCCGTTTTCTCGCCACGTCAGCGCCGTGGCGAGAAAGCGGGTCGATTAATTTTTAATCGGCTTCGTAAACAGTCGGGGTTTCCAACCCCGACTGTTTAGTCCATCCGTCGCTAAGCGCTTAACTAAATGGTCGGGGTTGGGAACCCCGACATTTAGCAGAGTCCAGCCAGCGCTGGGTTTGGCGAGGGACGAATTCGTCAGGTTGGGAACCCCGACCAATTCGAAGCTCATTTCGAATTGGTCGGGTCCCAACCCCGACCATTAAGCAGAGGCCAAGGCCGAGGCAAAAAGTAGTCGGGGTTAGGAAACCCGACTACTTATTCTGGGCCCCCTTCACTGTATAAAAGCCACTGAAACCTAATTCCCCCGACCCCATCTCATTTCTCCGCCTCCCTCTTCTCTCTTCCGTCCGTTCTCCCAAAACCAAGCTTTAGATCTCAAGTTTGAACTCGTTTCTTCGGCGGAAATTCAAATCAAAAGTTATCTTAAACGTCTTTAGGTAATTTCTTTTACTCCTCTCCTCTTTTAACATGTAGAAATGTAGGATTTTTTCTTAAAAATAAAATTTTAGGGTTTTCATTTATAAATGAATTTCGTGGGCTAGAGTTATCGCTGAAATTCGTTTGTATGATGATTGTTATCGATGTAATTAACTTTTAGGGCATAGAATGTTCAATTGTTCAATTTTAGGGTTTAGGCTTTACAATTTGGGAATTAGGGTTTTTGGTTGAAATTATATGAGATTATTTGCATATTAATTTAATTTTTTATATTTAAATGATATAATTTTCTTTTGAATATGTTGAACAATATGATTTTTATTACTTGTTCTTATGGTGGGCAAATTAATTATGGGATGAATAATATGCCAATGTACGTCGGAGGGGTAACGACGTCATTAATGATCTCGGAATCATATAGTTACTACGACTTGGTTATGGAATTATACCGAGTTACGGAAATTGATCCCCGAGAATACCGACTGAAAAATATATGCAATTAGCCCATAGCTATTGATAGAACATCCGCAGTGGAGATCTTGAACGATTATCATATGAGTATTATGTTTAAATTGGGCAAGTCGCAACAAACGGTCATAGAAGATCTCATTGCCCGACCAATCCAAATAGATAGCAATTAATGGGTACAATTTTATACATTTGTGTAATTTTATTCTAACTCATTTATAGATTAATGGATCATCATTATATGTGCAGATATTTCAGTTATGGAAGCGGGTCCATTGACACATGATGTTCTTTATGACCAAGAGCGTCACCGATCCGCGAAGATAGACGCTAGGGAGGTAAAGTACAGTTTTATTATTTTTAATTATATATAAATTTCAATGTAGTTGATTGTTACTGAATATTTGCACTGTTTACTACATGCAGGCCCCGAGTATTACTGTTGTCGATCATACCCGTGCACACTCTAGCTGGGAGTTGACGGATCCACAAATACAGTATTATGTGCGTCAAGCCGACTTTTTTGAGTGTTCACAACTTAAATTGGTAAGACTTGATTGGGCACTTTTGACGACATTGGTTGAACGATGGAGGCCCGAGACAAATACTTTCCACCTGCGCCAAGGAGAGGCGACGATTACCTTCAGAGTAGATGGTGATGCAGTGACGGGCAACGATGACTTCCACTATGGCACTAAGTGTGAAGATTTGTTGGGTCACACTCCTACAATGAAGGGGGGAAAGATCAAACTCGAATGGTTAAGGAATAACTTTATGAATGTACCGATCGATGCGACTGATGAGATCATTAAGAGCTATGCCCGTGCATATATTTTACATATGATCGGTACTATTCTGTTTCCGGATTCCACTAAGGATTCCGTGCATGTGAGATGGTTACCGCTTCTTAGGGACCTATCGTTGTGTGGAGAGTTATCTTGGGGGAGTGCAGTGTTAGCCTACTTGTATAGGGAGATGACGAAAATAGCACTAGTGTGGAGAGTTATCTTGGGGGAGTGCAGTGTTAGCCTACTTGTATAGGGAGATGACGAAAATAGCACTCGTACAAAACAAAGAATTGAAGGGCTGCCTCACTTTGCTGCAGATATGGTCATGGGAGCGATTACATTTGGGAACACCTGATTTGAGGGAGACCCGCGCTCTCGATGGCCATATTCCTTTAGGCTGCAGGTATTATTAAGATGCATGTAACTTTAGTGCTTTATTTCAATATATACTAACCCGTTGTATATAAAATAGATGGAATGTGTCCAGATCCTGGCAAACCTCTCCAAAGGGGCATGAAAACTTTTACAGAAATAAGCTTAATCAGATGGAGGATGAGCAGGTATAAAAATTATAATATCTAAATATATTCAATTATGCGACCAATTGTTACCGATATCTAAATATATTCAATCAATATATCATAATATCTTATATCATAATATTTTCTTTATAGGTCAAATGGATGCCCTACGAGCTAGTGTTGGAGTCACTACCGGATATTTGCCGGGAAGGTGAGGATGTATGGCGTGCTCGCTTCCCACTTATATGCTTTGAGATTGTCGAAATGCACATGCCTGACCGTGTGCTTCGATAATTTGGACTACGGCAACATATTCCAAGGCCTGTGGAGAGAATAGAGAGAAATCCAAGAAAAGATGCACATCATGCTAATTGGGAAATAATTCGCTAAGCTTACATCCAGAGGTGGGATTTAAGGGAGGAACATGTAGTGATGGAGAGGGCTGATGCACCTGACCTAGGTGTGTACCTGCGGTGATATTGGAGAATTACTCACCGGTGGATATTTCAGGAAAACAAAGCCCCGAAGGAGTACATACCAAGAGGCCTAGTCGAGAGAGAGTTGGTAAGTGTATAAGAAAAATATACAATTATTTTCTAAGTTTTATTTTCTCACCATCCACTTGATAATAATTTTCTTTCGGTTTTTATTTTATAGGTACAAGAGCTCGAAGAGGTTTCTATTATGGCACATGACACATTGCGCACGACTACCGAGCAGGAGCCGAGGAACACGTTCCTTCGAATGATAAAAAAGATACGGTCGGCTCTTCAGAGGATGCGTAATGCAAGCCGCTGTAGGCGTCAAAAAATGCTAATAGATATCCAAATACAGCTCAAGAGGAGATCATCGAAAAATCAAAGAAAAAAGACAGTCTTTACTGTCTCGCACGCGAGACAGACTTTACTGTCTCTCCGCGCGATGCGAGACAGTGTTTACTGTCTCTCCGTGCGAGACAGTGTTTACTGTCTCTCCGTGTGAGACAGCGTTTACTGTCTCTCCGTGCGAGACAGCGTTTACTGTCTCTCCGTGCGAGACAGCGTTTACTGTCTCTCCGTGCGAGACAGTCTTTACTGTCTCTCCGTGCGAGACAGTCTTTACTGTCTCTCCGTGCGAGACAGTGTTTACTGTCTCTCCGCGCGAGACAGTTCTCGAAGGTTCAGAAACTGTTTTATAAACTGCCGACACGTGGCCATTAACTGTCAAAGAACATGGGGAACATCGTGGGCGAGAATCACGTGAATAACTACCAAAATAACGGAGTTTGAAAACGTGGGAAGGCAGTTACAACGAAAACTGCCAGACAGTTACTGTTCCCGAGACAGTATTTACTGTCTCGTGGGTCGAGACAAGCCGAGACAGCAAATGCTGTCTCGCGAGCCTGTTTTCCGCCAACTGTTCATAGGGGCTATAAATACCCCCCGAAGGCCATTTTTGAAGGAGGCTGATGAGAGAACATCCACAGGCTGATTTCAGAGCAGAGAGGGCAGAGTACTCGAGCTTCTGTAACTCCTTGATATTCAAGCTTTGACTTGATTTCAAGAAGAACGATTATCTTACCTTGATAAGATATCGTTTCAAGTTCTCACTTCGATAAACGAAGTTAGAATCATAAACCCCTCACGATTCAATCAGAATCTGTGATTTGGTGGTCCACGGGCTAACGCACCCCCGGCACAGGCAAAGATCCCACGCAAGCAGTGATCCAAACAACGATCCTGCGTTTGTTTCCCAAGAGTTGTAATTTTCATTTTGTTGTGTAAAAGAAGTCTTATAAAAAGGCTATCTCTTTTTGAATTTATTGTAATCGACTAAAGATATAATGAATTCCATAACAAAACCAACTTTTGACCCAAACAGCCGCGATGGACGAGAGGAGCGACCACTTGAGTACGGGCGGC